TTATAGTTTATCTTAATAATATCCTAATCTTCTTAAAGACGCTAAAAGACTATAAGAAGTATATAAATTAAGTGCTATAAAAACTCCAAGAAGCCAAACTCCTAGTAGAACTAGAAAAGAGTAAATTCTATACCTAAGAAGTTAAATTCCTAGGCTTTATAATAGCCCCTAGAATCCTTAAAATATTAAAAGATAAAATTATAGTAGTATAAGACTAGTTAATACCCTAGAACGTTAAGGATATATAATCCTTTATTAAATATATAAACTACTACTAATAATTTCTAGAAGGATATTTAGATAAAAATAACCCTCTTATAAGACTCTTAAAGAAAAACGTCCCCTAGCAATAGGAAGATAAATAAGAATAAGCCTTTAATAAAATTAAATAATAGATTATATTAAAACCTATACTTATTATACCTAATCCTAAGAAACTATTTAAAGTTAAGACTAACTCCTCAAACTATACTATAGGAGGATAGCTAGGCTAATAAGATAATAAAGGATAGCTACACCTATACGCCTTTTTCTTATATAAGCTATATAGCTTAAAACTTAACTACTAAATTTATAATAAGGAACTTATAGTAATTATTAAAGCATTTAAGAAATAGAGACCTTAACTATTAGGAATAAAGTATAAAGTTAAAGTCTATACTAATTATAAGAACCTTACCTACTTTATAATATTAAAGGAACTTAATAAATAATAGATTAAATAGTCTAAATTCCTCTCTAAATTTAATTTTAAGATTATCTACTAAAAAGGTAAGGAAAATAGAAGAGTAGACGCTCTTAGTAGAAGACTAGACTATAAAGTCTAGGTACCTAAGGAAACCTAGGTAATCCTTAAAAAAGATAAGGAAGGAGACCTTATGCTAATAGCTAGACTCTTAATAATAGCTAGAAGAGATAATACTAGTATAACTAGAAGGATATCTCCTAAAGCCATTAGGGAAATATACTCTACTCCTATATATAGCTACTAAGGCGTAACTAAGATATAGAAATATATTAGATAATACTATAATAAAATAGCTATATAATAAGAAGTATCTTTAGTAATTAGGGACTATAAGGTTTATATAAAAAGTAAACCTAATTAATATTAGCCTTATAGTAAGATATAGCTACTCCTAATATTATAAACTATATAGGAATCTATCTTATTAGACTTTATTACTAAGTTACCTAAGTCCTAAGAACTAATAACTAAGGTCTACTATAATAATATCCTAGTTATTATTAATAGACTTATAAAGTATTTATACTTTATCCTATATATAGAGTTTAATACTATAGAAGACCTTACCTATAAGTTTCTATAGATAATTATTAGCTAATATAGAACGCTAAAGGAAATTATATCTAATAGAGATAAGTTATTTACTTCTAAGTTTTAGAGATCCCTAATCTTATAGCTTAGATCTAATTATAAAATATCTACTACTTTTTATCTATAAACTAATAGCTAGATAGAATAAATTAATTAGATTATAGAAACCTATCTATACTACTATATTAACTACTAGTAAGATAACTAAGTATAATTACTACCTATAGCCTAGTTTACCTATAATAGCGCAATAAGAGAAAGTATAAAAGAATCCCTTTTCTATCTAAACTATAGATTTAACCTAATAGTCTATAGAGAACTATAATAAGGCCTAGTAGCTCTAAAAGCTATAGTAGATATTAATAAACTTAAGGAAATCTAATAAGAACTCCTAAAAGAACTTAAATTTATATATAAATAGATATATAAATATACTAATACCTTAAGAGTTAAGGGACTAACTCTATAAGAGGGGGATAATATATACCTTCTCTATAGAAATATTAAGATAAAATAACTAAGTAATAAGTTAGACTTTAAGAAACTTAGACCCTTTAAGATTATAAAGAAGGTATCTAACGTTAACTTTAAACTTATACTACTAGATACTATAAAGTATTATTTAGTCTTTTATATCTTACTTCTTAAAAAAGTACTAGTAGGTTTATATATAGAAGACTATATTATTATAGAACTATTAGAACTAGAATATAAAGTTAAATAGATTATTAACTACTATATAATAAATATAAATATAGAATATCTTATTAAGTTAAAAGGATATAGATATAAAGATAACTTATAGGAACTAGTTAAGAACCTTTAGCACTCTTAAGTACTGCTTTAGGACTACTATTAAAACTAACTATCTTAGAAAGCTTAACCCCTATAAATACTATACTCTAGTTAACTATATCTATATAACTATTAGCCTAAACCTTAGCAGCTAAAGAAGACTTAGACTCCTCTAAGGACTCCCTTATAGCGACTAACTACTTAGACGCTACTATATCGCCTTTCTTAAAGATTAACTGCTTCTCTTTCTAATAACGCTTAAGTTAACCTAAAGACTCTAATATCTTAAGCTGCGCCTTCTATAATATAGCTACCTTTTTATAAAATACCTCTTCCTTAGCCCTCTTAGCTAACTTAAGACGTTAAGATTCTTTAAGGAAATAGCTTACTAAAAAAAATACCTTAAAATTAATAAATAAATAAGAGGGTGAGAAATAAATACCTATAAGTATTAACTACTACCCTAATTATATTATAAGAGCAACCTTAATAAGTATATTTGCTATACTTAGAATACTTCTTTATTATCTTATAAATATAGCTATTTACCTAATAATAAGAATATAGTATAACCTTAAAACTATCTTAGAAAATCTCCTAAGACTAAAGCTAATAATAAATAGTAGAAGAAGCCTTTACTACCTAATTAGAATTTTACTTTTAAATATAACTTAATATAGTATTAGCACTATAAGAATAAAGGAAGTAAGATTAATAACTCCCTAACCTAAGAGATACTACCTACTTATATAGGTCTAAGGGACTAGACCTTTAGAGAGGAGACCTAATATTATAACCTATTAGGTATAACTAATAAAGAACGCCCTATTAAGATACTAAGTAGTTATAATAATACTTTTATATATAGGATTATAGGAATAGGGAGGACTCCTTAAAACGGAAGAACTATAGATAACTTATATAACTAGGGAAGTATAAGCACTAATAAGATAAGATATAAGCTACTTATAGTGTGGACTATAAGCGCTCACCTTAAGTAACTACTAAGTAATTACCTAATATATAATTAAGGTAAGAAGCTAGGAGGATAGGACTTATATATAGGATAGACTTAAGTCTACTTAAGAATAGACTTCTATAGCTCTTTAGTAATTAACTTATAATTCTCACTTAAGACTTTTAGCTATACCTAAATAATAATTACTCTATAAATCTTATTAAGGACTTAACTAATTACTAAGCCCTTTAAAGACCTATAATTACTTAATTAGACCTATAGAATAATAAATAACTATTACTATTATTATTACCTAACTTACTATTAATATAAACCCTACTATTAGTTAGCTAGCTGTAATAGCAATATAATATAGCTACCCTTATAATCTAGTTATAGATATCTTACTATACTTAATAAGTATATATTTAATATTTAATATTCTAAAAGAATATAACTCTATCTTAATAAGCTTTATAATATATATAGTAATATATAAATAGCTTTACTCTTAAGGTTAAAGGGGGTAAGACCTTAATAAGGGATATTAATCTATAAGAGATTATCCCTTTTACTATTAAGATTATATTATAACTTTTATCCTTTTATTCCCTCTTTTATTTACTTAAAATATCTTCCTCTTATATCTCTAGCTTTATATTAACTAATATTAATATCCTTATTAATATAATTATAAACCCTAATTATTATCTTTAACCCCTTAATAATATTAAGAATAACTATTCCTCTTACTTAAAGTATATTAAAAAGACTAACTTATAGCTTAGGCAGTATTTAGGATAGAGAATAAGCTACTAATAATGCTCTATATATTATAATATAATAAGCTATATAATAACTCTAAGCTTAATCTATTTAATACCCTAGTAATAGTGAGATAATATATAGAGGTACTAGTTAGGATCTAGATATATTAGATATAAGCTTAGTAGTTTTAGGTATAGTAGGTATAATTAAGCTTAAATTAATCCTTATTATTAAATAATAGCGCTAATATAGGAAAGGTAATATATAAAGCTGCTAGCAGGACCCCTAGAAATTTCTCGGGAGAAAAGTCAATTGGGCCGCGACTGGTCCCTATTGGCCAATACTTTACGTATCCTCATTGGCTCATATGATGATGTAAGATCACCCACGGGAGGGAGCCAATGAGTGGCTTAGCTGGGCCGGTTGATGTTTCAATCGGCGGGTCTAGAATCCACCTGGAAAACGGGCTAGCGCGTGTTTTGATGCCCCTTGCCCTGAAGCTGACATTTCCTTTCTTGCGCCTGTCACTGTCATCCGGTCGCCTGTCGCTGTCATCGCGCGTCAATTGAGGCATCGTCCCAACTTCTTCCAGCAGCGATCGGACCGACACGCCAATTATCGGTCTGGCCCCATCAGCAGTGACCTGGTCTTGGTAACGGCGATCACCAACGGAGAAGGGCCACGCTATCGCGACTAAGGCCTTCAAAGGCGGCCTCGAGCTGCAACGGCCAGCCACCGTCAATGATCCATTCGATCGACCTCCACGCTAAAGCCTGCAAGGACGCGGGGGTCTCCTGCCGGTTTTAATGAGGCGACTGCCCCCCCGCCAAATTTGCATTGTCTGACGGCATCTGTCAGCTTCTTCCCGGTGACGACTTCGAGCCTGATATCAACCCAGCCTCAGCGCCGTCGCGGTGCCATCATCAGCTCCCGATTCTGTGCGAGAGACATGTTGCGGGAGATCTGCCGCGATGAACATTGTAAGACACCGATTCCGATTGTCCGGTATTGCGGCTTCCGACTAACCGCAAACAGCCGGTCGCTGGCGAAGGTGATGGCCGAGTCGGATCCGCCCGGGATAACTCCACGGGCGGGACCTTGAGCAAACTGCAGCTCGATGGTTCTGACTCGTCGTCATTGATGTCGCTTGTCAGCACTCTCGTTCCTGTCCTTGTCTACGCTGTCGTGTGTGTGCTGGTCTTCTGGATCCTGCGCCGCAAGAGCCACCGCGTTTACTCTCCACGGACCATCCTCAGAAGCCTCTTTTCCCAGTAAGATACCCTGGAATTCATCGGAAAGGCATCATCCGACTGACTGCGTCTCAGTGAACAAAGTATACCCTTGCCGAAGGGCTGGCTCGACTGGGTCAAGCCCTTCTGGAATGAACCCGACACCGTCGTCCTGAATCGCTCGTCTCTGGATGCCTTCCTGTTTCTACGGTATCTGAAGGTTCTTGCCTTAATTTGCTTCGTCGGCTGCTGCATCACATGGCCGACATTGATGTCCATTCACGCCAGTGGGGGCAATGGACTTTCGCAGCTGGACCGCATCACTATTGGTAATATCAAGAACTCGCACATATTTTTCGCACACGCCATCGTTGCCTGGATCTTCTTCGGTGAGTATCGCCGTCACAAACCTCACATCTCGTACTAACACCTGTCAAAGGATTCATCCTCTTTACTATATACCGCGAATGCATATACTACATCAATCTTCGTCATGCCTATCTACTATCGCCATACTATGCCAAGCGGCTTTCCTCTCGTACAGTATTATTCAGCTGCGTACCTCCGAAGTACATGGACGCTGCCCGCCTTCGCAAAGTCTTTGGCGATACTGTCAAGAATGTCTGGATTCCTCGGGACACGAGCGACCTAGAGAGACTCGTCAAGGAACGAGATGAGACTGCCAGACGGCTGGAGAAGGCTGAGATTCGTTTGATCAAGATGGCCAACCAGCGTCGGAACAAGCAGTTGAAGGCTGCTGGTGTGGCAGTCCCTGAGACCGTCTCGAGTCCAACTTCGAGCGGGCGATCCGAACAGTCTGAGGATGCCGAGAAGGGGTACCCGTATCACCTAAATACGGACTTGCCAGATGTCAACGGCTCAGTCGCTGCTCAATGGATCGGAGCCAGCGAGCGTCCATACCACCGACCGTTGGCAAACTTCTTTCGGCGCGTCGACACCATCAAGTGGACTAGGAATCGCATCAAAGCCCTCACGAAACAAATCAACAAGCTTCGCCGAGGCTTCCTCAAAGGTGAAGGCCGTCGCCTGCCTGCCGCCTTCGTCGAGTTCTCCTCTCAAGCCGACGCCGAACGCGCTTGCCAGACACTCACTCACAACCGCCCACTGCACATGTCTCCGCGACATATCGGCATGCGACCAGACGAGATTGTCTGGAGCTCGTTGAGGATGCAATGGTTTGAAAGAATCGTTCGAGGCTTTCTCATGCGGTCCATCATCGCTACCGCCATCATTTTCTGGTCCGTTCCATCTGCTTTCGTCGGTGCAATTTCGAATATCAAGTTTCTTGCCGAGAAGCTCCCTTTTCTGGCGTGGATGGTACATCTTCCGGACCCCGTCACTGGTATCATCAGCGGCCTGTTGCCTGCACTGGCTCTTTCGTTCCTCATGGCCATCGTGCCATGGATTCTAAGGGGTAGGACCACATCCTAACACTGGCCCGAGCTGATGCTAACTCTCACTTAGGATGTGCTCGACTCGCCGGCGTCCCGTCGCTGTCTTTGATTGAGCTTTTCGTTCAGCATGCCTATTTCGCATTCCAGGTCGTCCAAGTCTTCCTCGTCACTACGCTCACTTCGGCTGCCTCGGCAGCTTTCACCCAAGTTCTCAAAGACCCCCTTTCGGCGAAAGATCTGCTGGCCGAGAATCTTCCCAAGGCCTCCAACTTTTACATCTCGTACATCTTAATCCAATGTCTAGCAGTCGGGGCTGCGTCACTGGTTCGCGCCTTTGACATTGTCCGCCACAACATTTTCGCCAAAAGCTTCGACAACCCTCGTGGTCTCTTCAGGATATGGCAGAGAGATCGACCCATTCACTGGGGAGCTGTATACCCCATCTTCACCAATATGGGCGTAATCGGTAGGTGCTATGTCCACGCTCTGGTAGCTCAATCTAACTTGTCCAAGCTATTAGCTATTCTTGCATCGCGCCAGTCGTTCTTGGCTTCGCCACCGTTGGCCTGTATGCCATCTACCTTGTCTACAAGTACAATCTGCTTTACGTCAGCAATGTCTCCATTGACACACGAGGTCTCGTTTACCAGCGGGCTCTAATGCACCTTTTGGTCGGCTTGTACCTTGCCACGATCTGCCTCATCGGCCTGTTCGTCCTGCGCGAGGCATATGCCCCGATGGTATTGATGGTTGCTTTCCTCATCTTCACCGCCTTGGTCCACATCTCCCTGCGCGAGGCTGTGTCCCCGTTGCTGTACAACATTCCCCGAGCATTGGCTCTCGAGATGGAGGAGCTTGACGGCGTACCTACCGTTCTGTATCCTCAAGACGACTTTCTTACCGATGCCGACATCAACATGTCGTACCCCGACTTCATTGATCCAGTAGATGAAAGCGAAGGCCCCGTCCATGAGACCAACGGAACTCGTGGCCTTGAGGGTGCGAGAGGCTTCATGGCTTCTGTCACCGACTGGTCCAGCGGTGCGCTGCTCAAGAAGGCCCAAGACACAGTGACCAATTGGGGCATGGCGGGCCCCCTGAGCTACATCTCCCACTGGATCTCCCCAGATCCGTCCGTCGAGCCGAATTTCCTCCTGCACTGGCTCCATCCGGGCGTGTTCGACGATTTTGCGACCCTTCGTCGCCTGATTCCCAACGACCTACCGGACCCCACGGCAACGTATCCTCCGGATTATGCTCGGCGCGCTTATTGGCCGCCCGAAATGGCGTCGCCGGCCCCAGTCATCTGGATCCCGCGGGACCCGGCCGGCGTCAGCCGTCAAGAAGTGGAGCACTGCCGGAAGGTTGTCGGGTGCACGGATGAGGGCGCCGACCTTAATGATAAATGTCGGATTGAGGTCGATTTGCAGAAGGCACCGTTTTGGGTGCCTCGTGTGTTGTATTGATATTCTGGAAAGCGAGGCGTATGGCGTACACAGCTGGTAGATAGACACTAATGATACATGTATTCTCACCAATAGAGCTCTCCCGAGCGGTTCACAACATTCTGACGGTAAGCATGAATTTTAATCCCTGCATGTCTTGCTCATGTCCACGCCATGCGGGCCCAGATTGCCAGGAGGGTGGCATCATCTCCGACAGCCGCTCGGTCCGGTGTAGGTGCACTGTGTGCGGCTCTGCGGGCTGGAGATCTTCTCAGCTCATCGCGTATTCTCCAACTCGCGCCCCCTTGCGTCTATAAACCAGGCGCTAGTGAAGCCAAGGAAGAAACTTTCTTTTTCTGAGTGTCAGTTAACCTTGGCTCAGCGCCGAACTCAAAGATTTAGGTACAATTGTAACCACAGCACAGCGTTAAGAGTATGTATTGCAATAAATCAAGAAAAACATTTTTCTTTCCAGCTGTGTGGCCATGTGATAGTGTTACCCTTCGAGTGCAAATGTCGTCACCCGTGTTCCCAAGACTGCCGATCTGCCGGGGGACGTCGGTGTGTTCGACGGAGAGATGCTCCGTTACTCGGGAGACACAAATACGGAGTTTCGACAACAACCCAACGACCCAGTATCGTTAGCTCGCAGGTTTTATAAGTATTTACTGAATATATTTTCAAGATATATTAATTGAAATTTAACCACGCCTTGTTAGTATTTTTTACTCATAGATCGCAACGCTTTTTAAATCGTTCCAACGATTTTGCCTCTTTTCTATATTGACTTAAGTAACTGAGCTTAATGAGATAGTACATAGTCTGTTGGTGTCAAATAAAGCATCAGTAATTCTAACCTGTCTTGCTTGCTATATTGTTGAAGAGCATTAGGGGCGAGGGCTTCGAAGTGAGACATTCTCGCCTAGGGCGCAATGCGAGGCAGCATTCTTCAACAACGATCATGAGTAAAGTCACTTTGTGCTTTCTTCAAGCTGCGTCGATGCGTCCACGTCAGCGATGTCGGATGTATCAACTGTTTCAGGCCGTGACAGGTAACACCTAAGAGATTGGCATCAACAAGACTCCCCAGCGGTGCTTCCTCAAAGGACGTGAACTCAGTCCAGCTTCGGCTTGCTTCCAAGGAATGAACCTGGAGACGTCATTGTGAACCATCAGCCGGCATCGGATCTAATACTCACACCCAGGATGCATCTCGTGAAGTCATGCTTATAACCGTAAACTTGAGCGACTCCCCTCCCAGTCCGCGCGGTGGCGTTTCTGTGACAGCTGGTCTTTTTGATTCTGCACCTTCCGTCATTCTCCCTGTCTAAATCCTCGCTTCGCCTTGGAAACGAATGGGTCATCTTTGGCGGCATACAGGGCTAATTTACTCCCTGATGCCCGATGGACGCAATGCCATTGACGATTACCAACTTGTCCCCCTTCCTCGGTGTCCAGTCTCTTTCGACCTCGGAAACCCACAGCTACCGCTGAATTGTCCCGTGACAGTGGATCGCACTGAACGCTCCAAAGTGTTCCCGGCACCTTTACGGAACCTTAAGGATGATGGACAAGTTATCTAAGCAGACTCACAGGCATCAAAAAGGCGCCAGCGCCCCGACATCCTGCTCCCTTCTGAGTCTGCACACCATCTTGAGGAATTCGAAGGTCTGAGACTCCCAGCCCTCCTTTCCCGTCTCATGGGCCCATTCCAAACGAACTCTCGATTGCCAATCGCAGAAGCAAAGTATCAGTACAGTCTCTTTCATACAGTTCTCTCCACGAGGAGGGTCTCGAACATGGTACAGGCGCCATTCCTCCAATTTAGCCTCCCTCCGTACACTCGGCTCAGGGTTGCTAATTATGCTGGCTCTCTGAATAGAATCAACCAGCTGGGTCCTCCAAGTCCAGTAAGGGCAACGGGCAATATGAATACATATTCATTTGGACCTGCGTGAGCTCCTCTACTGCTCTCGCGTTTCAGCACTTGGGTCCGCTAACAGTCCAGCAGTGCTTCTGCGGACAAGGCGGTATGAGCGTGACAATAGAGCGATGCTGCTATTGCAGTAGCCTCCGGTGCTCTCGCTGCATCGTACTTCGAGTGCGAAGAAAATTAGAATCATAAATTCTCGACGTCCATGTTGGGAATGAGAGAAACAAAAGTAACCGGACGCTGGATGGCAGTAACATACCGCAAAGTACCAATTCCTGGCGTTAAGTCACTGGGTGGACCGTGGGTGTCTGTTGGCACATTTTAAGGGAGATCACATGCAAGGTTGGGAACCGGAAGTGTCTACCCAAGTATCAGGAATAGCTCAGTCGCCACAAGATCGAAGATTGAAATTTTGTTCGAGAAAGACTGTCTGACCCGCGCACGTAGATTGACCCACGCACGTAGAAGTTCAGTACGTCACATCTCAATTCTCGTACTCAACAGAAACAGCTGGACAAGTATCGATATCAAGCTTGAACCCTAGTCCAATATCGCAAATCCAGTGTTGACTTCTCTGTGTATATGAGGCCTCGCTGTCGAAGAGCTTTCTAGGCCGCCTTTTTATCTTACCGTAGAACCGGGTTTCCCCAAGATATGTACGTTCAGAATCTATGAATTGTAGCTATTTCTTTTCGATTTCTTTGCGTTTGTTTATCATTCTGCCAGTGCGCCCTAATCATCGTCGTCCTGCACGCCGCCGTGTCTTACTTTCCAGCTTCGTGGTTTATTTACAGTTTAACAACAACATCTTCATATTTTCTTCCCTCCCCAAAAACACCATCATTGTTCGATATGAGGTATGAGGGGAAACGAAAAGCCAATCTTAGGTATCGCATGGGTCTGTAAATTCAATCACGCTTTCAATTGTTCAGTTTACTTAAACTGGCAAGGCTTGCATAGATGAAAACAATGTAATTATCCTACGAACTTATTCTAACTCAATTGTAGATTCCGTGATGGATTAATATCCGGTATTTTGAGACTTGAGTTATTTCACTCTACCGTTGATAAACTTGAACTTGGTTGACGGGCGGCTTCCATCTCGTTTCCGTACATAAACCCATCCGTTCCTGATTTGGACAGAGCGACCTGCTAAAAGTCTCCCATTGCTGAGTCTAAGACAATTCCCGGAGCTCAGCATTTAAACTCAGAGTGGAAAGAGTACCCGAAGCTAAAGCTTCATATTCTTTGAAGTCGAAAGTTTGGAGTGTAGTTTATTCTGACGACCCCATGGTTCAGATCTTTGACTCTAAATAGCGTTCAGATGATTACCGCTGGTGTCTACTCTAGACTCTGTACCTGCTACACGCACCAGCTACTACCTCTGGCCAGTTTTACAGATCTTTTGGTTCTTTCAATGGTCTGGTCCATTATCATCAATACTGATATTCACTCTAACAGCTTCAATTACGCCACCTTCATTTCATGGCGCATACGAACCTTATGACAGTCATACGAAGCCAAATCTCGTGATAGCGTGGAAGACTTCGCACTGCATTCAACAATCATCCTGGAGCCATTGAATACAAATGAATATTTCCCACAATAAACTGGTGATGATTCATAAAACCCGGTTCAACCCGTCTGATTTGGCTTGAACAAAACCCCTCATATGTAGTCCTCTACGTCAAGTGAACGCGCCAATGTACAATCAATGCCAATCTCCTTTCTTATCAAGACGTAATCGTGGATATGTGTCATTACTTCCAGCTCCATTACTGTATCGAACGACAAGCGCGGCTGGACAGTTGTGCCAATCCCCAGCGATCATATGTCACCATTATACGTATTCCGATCACAATGGAAGACCAATGATCCCCAACATATATGTACGGCAAGCTGAAGGTCAGACTCTTATGTGTGTGGGACGCGAGATTTTGTTTGTTGCCGAGAGGTTCGTACCCTTTCGACTTTGCATCGAGCACATCGGGGGTAATTGCAATACGGACAAGGATCAACCACAACAGACAATCCTCCCTGTGCACAGCCGCACTGCTTGCTAGTTAGTCACCAATACGCCGATCTTCTGGGAGTGGTACGGCAGTGGTATGAAATGGTATATCGTACACAAGTCCAGACAAACACAATCCTCGGCTTCGCGGGCTATTCGGGTATGTGAGTAGCCGTCCCTCATCGGCGGTGAAACATGGGGGGGAAACGTTGAGGAATGCCATACCATGATGCTCCGAGAGCGGCTCTCTCCACTTCCGTGGTATTGGTGCGCAAACTGCCACGCCCTTTAGAAGGCGTCAATAGCTCCAGCGGCAGACGTTTCGCAAGAAAGACTTATGACGAGAACTGATGATTCGGTTTGCGGACTATCGATTCTGTCGCAAGAGTATCTGACGAGGGTCGCCAAGAGATGATTTGAGTTCTCGGCCTGAGAAATAAATCACGGTCTCGTTGACTGAGCCGCTGCTGTAAATATGTAACTTAAGCTCCGGGGCTTAGACGTCACGAATAAGAGAGTTACACAAATGCGTGCTTGCAGCGCCGATAACCGGCCAAGAAGAAAAACTGGTGGTCGTACAAACAATCCCAAAAAATGCAGCGGTCCGTGGATGGGCAACGAGTGGGCGAAGAATGTGGGAAAAGTATTAGCGGGAAGGCGGTCGACAGAGGGAGAAGTACCCGTCACCTGACGGTCTCTTCGCAGACTTGATGTCTCACACTCAGCCGCCTAGAGGGCTGGACAAAATCCCATTCCGACTAGCATGTAGCCTCGGTATTGCACTGGCATGGTGACACAAGAAACCCTCAGCTTACACGGCGTCATTTTCAGGAGAGGCCTGAAGATTGCAATTCTACTGGGGAACATGGCGTTCGATGAGACCCGCCTTCGGCTCGATCCCCTGTAGTTATCTTGTCTAGGAGCATGAAACCTGGGGTGATTACGGTGGCATCAATCAAACAGCTGGATGAAGGCGTTGGCAGGGTTCTTATGTAGGTGACCTTCCAGAAGCCCCCCCGCCCCCTGCAGCGGCGCAGCAACACACAGGATCTTGGACCATTAGATCGGCGGGTGTCA